AGATACACACGGCAATGACGTGAGGGTGAATGACGGTCCACGGGCCCGCTGTTTAGGTCTCGCATTCATATTCACCGATTCGGCTATTCACTGACCGTTCCGAGTTGTTCCACCGCGCTCCGAATGACAGATGGGACGATCAGATATATGTTTGTACAAGGCCGTTATTGAGATAGCGTTTACGGGGTCGTTCGCTTCCACGAAATTGGATAAATTCGACTCGGCGCGAATGCGCCCTAAAATCTCTGCGGTTTGAATTTAATGCGTTGCGCTCGCCTACAAAGAATTTTTGGCCAATTACGATTTCGCTGGTTGAGTAGACACCGGCTAATCGACAGCCGGTCGAATAGACGCAACCTTCATTCAACACACGAAATGACACATAAGAAACAGTTATAAAGAAGAACTACCTAGATCCTAGATTATCAATTCGCTATAAAACACACTGTTCAAAAATGTGAAATTTAAACTCATTTTTCAACCGGTAATAAACGAGTAGCTAATTAATTATCATAATTAAAAATGCCCCCCTCAGTTCATCTAGATGTTACAAACATTTTATACGGATAATCCATGCAAAGTAGATCCAGTAAGCCTATTATATCCGCCATATTGTGCCGAGTTATCCTTCTGGAATGTATTTGAATTAGAACAACAAAGGTATAGGGATCCAGGAGGGTCCAAGGATAACTAAGGATTAGCATTTCTGCAAGAAGTTCCGAACAATGAATAGGGATCTAACTTGATGGGTGTAAATCAATACAAGCGCGAATTGTATGTACAGGGTGCTTCTAAATGTGGATAGAAGTTTATGAAGTTCTATGCTCTAAATTGCTTTGGTTTAGTTACACAAAATTTTAAATTGTATAACCAATAGTTATAAAATCACGAGTATTGTGTAGTTGCTCTACTCTATGTGATGTTGATATTTTTGGGGTCGTCTTATTAGGTTATTTTAGGGGACTTTTGGGATTATGTTATGGCGTACTGAAAGGATGTCTTGGTCAAAGAATTACTACTTGATGTAATTTAGTACACCCTGTATTTTCTCACCTAAAGTTCCCCTATAAAAAAAAATCTCACTCTACTAACAACTAATAAATAACAATCGGTCGGAACATAGCCTGCAAGTAGGTCAGATTTTGCATGGAAACCTATAAATCACTTTTTCAGTTTTCGGAAGTGGAATAATTATTTCAGTTTCGAAAGTGGGATAACTTTTTCGCCCCCTTTTCGCGAGATATCTGCTAAAACGCTGATAAGGGATGAATAATGGCTAACTCGCTTTTTTTGTCAAGATTTCAACTTTTACAATAGGGGGCATCCTATATTCACCAGATAGCGCTCAAAACGGACCAAAAAAGATTGATTTACAGCTAATTAGATAGGTTAATTCAAATATTATTTTGGTTATGATAGCTATCAAATATCAAAAGAATTTATTACCCCGTTTGAAACTAATACTGATAATCTATTATAGGATTATTTTTGAAAATTAAATTTACAATGGTTTCATCTAGTTTTACCCTATAATAAAACCTCTACTAGAACAACAAAGCTATTCAATTTACAAATATACTTTTAAATACGCTCATAATCCATTATAATATAATAATCCCACTTCTGATTTCGCCCCTGCTTCATTCCACTTTTCATATGAATGATCGAAATTCAATCGCAACTAGTCAGCGAGGCAATTTCCACGGCCACAATTCCATAAATAAACCCTCCCCACGCCCCTCGCCCCTATACGTTTTCCACGACTAGCTCTGGGGATCGTCGAAATTAAAATATCGGCCCGAGGCGAAATCTGCACCCGGGGTTTATTCCGGAGTAAAAACCGGAAACCGAGCGAGCCGGTTCCGGTCGAAAATCTCGACCGATATGTTGATTCGTTTACAGGAATCTACTTATCGACCGCGTTTCGAATGCAAATTCGCCGCCTGGAAAGGAAAAAAGTTCGGTCGCTGCACACCCTTCGCTCGACTTTAGATAAGCGTATGGTAGTCGCTTTTAAATTTACATACTGCAGGAATTTTTTCCTCGCCGTAATGGCCGGCCCGCAGAAGTGGGATAATTTCGAATCAGAAGCGAGACAGGAATCAAAAGTGTACAGTACCTTCTGAAATGGAGATCCTGGTCACCAGCAGGACGATGCACACCGTCCAATGCAGGCCGTTCTTCTCCGAGGTCATGGCGGACCGCGAGATCCTCTCGCAATTACGATTGTTGAACCTGCAACGATACGAAAAAAACCTTTGTATATAAAATACGGAATTCCAGATTGGAAAACTCTCGCGAATGGAAATTAACGTGGACAGCTTTAATGGCGTTCGTGTTGAACGACTTTCGAGTTTGTGATCTGCACGAGTTGATCGCCGGCGGCCCTTTCGTGTTGGGATAGTTGGTTATTAATGGAAAAAATTTTCTCCGCTAATTTTCTAGACGATTACGACATTATTATCTATAGAGGTATAATGTCTTGCTTATATTATTGTCCAACTAGTAATTTGCAATTTTTAATGGTTCTTTTATTGTTGTTTTTTTAAGTTCTAATCACGGTCGGTTATTTCTAAGGTCTAGAAAATTGGTGTTTTTAGGTGTTTTTTGTGTAGGTGGAGACAATTACAACAACAATTATTTGATAATCTAAGTTATGGGTGCATCTCCAACAACCTAAATGTAGAATTCAAAAAAATATCAAATTAAAAAAATAATTATTACGATGGTGTATTATTAGTGCCAACTTAACAAGTATTTTAGCGTCGAAAAACACAATGGCATCGAAATAACTCGCTATAATTCGAATGGCAAATGGTTTTTCTCACACTGTTTTTCGCCATTCACCGTATTATATTCAAACAAGTGGCTATTGAAATGAACGAACGAGCGAACAATGTGCTTGCACGCATTCGAAAGAGAAAATAAAGCACAGGAAACAACGACGTACGTCCGTCTTCTTTTTTTTTATTAGGAAATCGTACGGACGAATCTCGTCCCATTTCTCCGTCTGGTTTATTTATTACCGGATATTTTAATATTAATTACCAGCAGGGCGGTAATTACCGGCGCAATATTAAAATTGTATGGGACCGGTAACCGGTTTGATTTCAATTTGTGTGTCTCCAAGCGAGTTTAATAAACTTTAAAACGTCCTTTTAGAGAGTTTTATAGCGTAAAAATGGCTTTACGTTATTTTGACGTGTAAGTACGCTGTCAAAAGTCAATGTATTTGACATACTTCAAAATAACGCAAGTGAAAAATGAAGTGTATACGTCAAAAGAGTTATGCAGGTGCCAAAAAAAAGGATATCGGAAAACGCTCGTTTAAAAATTTCATTTCATTACTTCACGGGAATTTTTTTTTAATCGACGAAGCGAAATAAACGATCATCATTTTTCTATATCGGGACGGCTCGAGTTCCGTTGATAACGCAAAAGTGACAACGTTCGGCTTTTGTTTCAAGTCAAAACGAGTGTTTTCCGCCTTTTTTCCACTCGACATTATTAGCTCGAGAGCGTTCTTACTCGTTTTACTTCGAAAGGAACTGCCTGAAAAATGGAAAAACGAGGTGGAAAAAAAGCACGGAGGGAGTTAACGCAAAGAGGAAAAGCGCTCTTTAGTTTTATGAAAATCACTCGACTATGTAGTTCGACGGTATGTAAATTTAGAGGATTATTAAAATTTGTTAAATCATTATTAGATGTCGGTTTATTAATTTTTTATTGGCGTATCTATTGATTAAAAAAATCATCGTGTACATCCAGAATTTCGGCAATTATTTCAATTGATTAACATTAATTACATTAATTTTATTTAATAAATAACTTTTTTTTTCAAAATTTCTACAGTTACATTATTAAGTAGGTATAATTAGGTTATAGGTACAGTAAATTTCCCCATTTCGCGGAAAAGGCCGCTGTGTTTTAATTGCCGCAATTCGCAACGATGATAACCTTTAATTGCTACTTTGTCGGTTTATTATCTAATCAACAGTAAAAGTAAGATGTGGAAAATATAGCTGGTGATATTACAACCCCTGCCCGTTCAGTTTTCGACTTCTTTTTACGACTGCAGCAATTTTGATAGGATTAAAAATGGCAGGAGGACGTTCGAACGACATAAACGCGACGTCGATAAAACGTTTATTTTCGACCAATAAAAGCGGTAAATTCTGCCTGGAGGACGTTAAAATTTTAAACGACCGTTTGTTATTGTTATTGCGGCATAAATTGATGCCCCAAAATGACACGCGTGTGACAGTCAATAAGTTGTAATTAGGTATAGAATGCTCAGGCAAATCCAGTAATGACGTCACAAAATGAATTATTGAATGTATTATATTATGAATGTTTGTATACTCGATATTTTTTATTCAAACACCAAATGGAATGTACGCTACAAAATAATCGAGTGAACGATTTACCTAAATATTTATAACATAACAAAAAATCGTTAATTTCGGATAGCTTCATTAAAATTTTATTTCTGAATGGAAAATTATTTGCATAGGTACCTATACTTGATTATTAATTATTATTGTATGCGATGTAAATTTAAAATAATCATCGAAAATATGATTTTAACGTTTCAATTAATTCCAACGCAATACGAACCGATATATTTTCAATTTCATTCAATTACCAAATTAAATTATAATCTCGTGTGTAGAACAAAAAAGCCGATAATATTATATATAATATTTTTAGGTTTGTCAATGAGGCCTTTTGCCGAATGAAATAAATTCAAATAAAAAATATAGAATTTTGTATCTATTCAATCAATAACCACAGAGTATTATAGATATGTTTAATGAGGTATTTTCAATTTCAAAAAAGAAATAACGATCAACATTATTGCTAAAATAAACGCTTTACGAATTAGGGGTCTCTTTTTAGGGGGTTAGATGAGTCATATTTTGGCGATAATGAGTTCATTATTTGGGGTATTATGAAGTGACTTCTTGGGGGATTATGATGTGACTTTGGATGATTATAAGATGGCTTTGAACGATTATGAGGTGGCTTTAAAGAATTATAACGTGGCTTTGAAGGCTTATGAGGTGGCTTTGGAAGATTATGAGGTGGCTTTGGAGGATTATGAGGTGTCTTTGGAAGATTGCGAGGGGGCTTTAGAATATTATGAGGTGCCTTGGAGAATTATGAGGTGGCTTCTTAGAAGTATGAGTTACCTACTATGAGGGATTATGAATGGAAAATAAGATGCATTTTTACCCATTTTAGTGCCTCTTGATCCTTCACCATATAACTCTACTCTGTCAAATTTTGTATTTTTTATTAAATTAGCATCTGTCGTAGTTCTCAAGCCGTAACCATTCGTTCAATTAAATTAAAATGCTTTTTTCGTAGAAACGAAATGCACTTATGCTGTTTACGTCGGTATCATTATTTGCTAATAGGAGCAATTAAGATTATCTTTACGTGCATCGCGCTTTTTCCCGTAAACGTTCCGGCAACAACGGCAGAAAAATAGGTACAAAGAGGCGAAATTGAAACGCATTTTTCAGTAGTCGACGACAAAAAGCGCAGTGTGTTAGTCCGCATTATCTGGTTTTTCCGTAGCGCTCTCTTCTCGCTTTCATTTTACATGTTTATTTCTTTAATAAAGTCGCGAATTATCATGTAAAACGGGCCTCATTCGGGCGAGGATGGAACTCTCGGGATAATTTCGAAATAACTTTATTGAAAAGCGGCGGAGTCGCGAGAAAGAGAGTTGGGAATTGCGAAAAAAAAATCCCGTATAACTAAAATTAACGAGCTACATTGACGAGAATTTTTGAATGTATAAATTCATGTTTCTAAACTAAGTAATTTTCAAAATATTTTTTGAAGAATGCTTTTGTAAAAACGATTTACATCGCTCGAATAGTTAAATTACGGTTTAAATTCGAATACCGAACGTGTTTCGGCTGCTAAAACACGTCAAATAATTTTAATCTTGACTACGGTCGCACAATCGAAAATGCGGGAAAGCGCATTTCCACAATACCGGAAAAAAATCGAGGAAAAGATCATCAATTTCCATACCGGATCCGTGTAAAAACGACAAACCAATCCCTAAAATGGATATAAAATTGATGATACCTACTCCACGGAAGTAACTATAAATTTTCAGGTGAAGAATAGTTTTGTGGAAATTCGAGAGCGAGAAAAACAATTTCATTACAGGAAGAAAATGGCTTTCCGAATTCGACTTTCAAACGTTCTAACTGCTGAATTTATTAATCGACTATTATTGCATGTTGATCTAATTCAACTCAAGAAGCTTAAATTGATAAATAAATATCTTAATGGCTGTATTTTATATAGTGTTTATTTGTGTTTATATTCGAAGTTAAAAATAAAATAATCGATTAATTTTTATTCCCCTATTCATTACACTAAAATCCAAGCATCAATCAGTGAGCGGACAGTATAGGCAAAAAACCGGAGGAAAATTCCGCCCGCTCGATGAAATTTTTACCCGCCGCCGGAAAATCTAAAACAATAAAAAAGAGACGAAGAAATCCTCTTCCTAAAATTCGCCGTTTCCTCTACCACTTTTTCTTCGATTTCCATTTGCATGGTAATTGGTTTATACGGAAAGGTCTGTTTTTTATTAGCCTTTATTTTGTGTTCGTTTCGTTCGTTTCGCGGTTTCCACTGTATTTATGCTCGCGTTATATTCGAATTTTAAACATCGTTTCGAGGACGATTTCGTTTCGGTGAAAAAGTTTTCCGTACAACGCGCGGGATGGGCTGGGAAAGGTCTCCGATTAGGCGTTACGAAAACCCGAAAACTAATATTAAAAATCAATACTATACGGTTATTTTTTCGGAGCGACGTATCATTATCTGTGTTATTGATACCTTCGATAAAAAACCATTTTAATCATCTCTGCATTATATTTACTGTACAAAGCGTTCATTATAACTTTAACCACTATGAAATAAACCATTAATGATGAGACGACATTCTTTGAGAACGGGTCTCATTATGTGAAGAGGATCTAAATAATGATTCTGTTATATCCTGTAATTTCCAGCCGTTCGATATTCTACCTGTCAAAATACCTCGAGAATAAACGATATGTGCATCGTTGGAATTTTTAAATTACCCCCTTAAATTTTCACTTCGTTTAAAACATCCTACGAAATAATTTCGAGTCGACTACTGCAATTTTCGACCGGCCGCATTCGTACGAATTTTATCCGGCTTATTTTTCTTAACTCCGCAAATACGGATTTTTATGAATATTGTTTCGTATCAAAATAATAAACTCCGCGCTAAACAAATTACTCTGCGTATTTCTGAATAATGCTCGTTTTTCACTCGAGTTTAGCGCTGTCAGTTCACCCGGTGTGCAAATATTTTCTATGCATTCTAGCCCACTCGACTCTAGAATACCCAAATTAATTCAAATAAATAATAATTTAGCCAACAAAACATTTCATCATAAAGCCTGGATCTCGTGTAATATGTTTTTAGCCAATATTTTATTTGTCTAGTGGATATTTTTGCATTGCTTATCTACTGTAATGTGCAGTGATCTCATTACCCCTAAAAGCAAAACTCATCGTGTTTGTATACCTACCTTCAATGAAATTAATCTCCTTTCTATTTCGTTATTGAAAAAAGTACTGTATAGCAGGATAGATAGAAAAGCAGCAAAATTAAATTAAACCGCTCAACATTTTCCTTCCAAATGCAACAAAGTTCCACATATCGAATTAATTCAATTTGTTTTATAGTTTAGTTTGAACCCAACGGGTGAAAAAAGTAATAGAACGAGGAGAGCGCGAAAAAATAACTGGGACAATTACGACAATTCACAAGGTCTGTAGATATTGGTTTTTAGGGTCCGGTGGACGTTCGCATTCGATCCTCTTTGATATCTGAACATTGCAATTTCGATAAAAATTCATACGTCTCGCTCTGTTTCTAGCGGGTGATCGCTTTTTTAATTGGATTTTTGATACGTGAAGTCAAAGAACTAGAATAATAACCTATTTTACTCTACGGTGAAGCAAATTTAAAAAGTATTCTTCGCCCTTTTGTAAGGTGTTATTAAGCGATAATTTGTATTAAGAAGCTGCTTCAGGGGATTTAAAGACGTTTTAGGGGATTGTGGAACTGCTTTATAAGGAATTGTGAAATGTTTTAGGTAATTACAAAGTTGCTTTAGGGATTATGATGTTGCTATGTGAAATCCTCATGTTGCTTTAGGTGATTGTGGGAATGTTTTGGGAATTGTGCAGCTGCTTTAGGGGATTATGATCATATGTTTTAGAGGATTATAAATTTGCTTTAAGGAAGTATGAAGTTGCTATATTTTGTAATAAAATATCATTTTAGGGATGTTTTGAGTGTTTTAATTTCTATATTTTATATCAGTATTAATGAAGTAGATAAAAACAGATTGTTACTTTTGAAAATTCTATGTGTTAGATATGGTATTTTTTTATTTAGGTATACGAAGTCTATAAAAGCTTTTAACTCTCTATTGCAACCTCTCTAATTTTCCATCACTTTATTATTTTTTTTAGTTTTCCTCCCGAACAGAATTTTGTCGCTTTGTCGAGTCACTCTAAAATTAACTCCTGCAAAAATTCCATTTAATTAAATGAGCAGTACGACCCTCGGAATCGAGCGGCCCCGTAATCTTTCCGTTCCGCTCTTCGAAAAGGAGATTTTAAATTGAAACATAATTAACGAAAAGAATGTTAATTTCGCAATTTCGTCTTCGGCTCGGGCTGACCGGCCCGCCATTTCCCGCCCGGCGGACGGAAATTTTGATTAAAATTCTGTTTCCCGTTAATATCGCACGCTTATTTAGCGAAGGCATTAAAGGGGATTTACAAACAATTTTTTGCTATTATTATCCCGGCTAGTATAAGAAATACGCGACCTCTTAATCCCCTCAAACAACCTCAAAATCCTTCGGAGAAGTTGCTTGGAAATGACTAGCTGGAAATACTAGGCAAGTTTTGAAGCTAATTAGCATTTTGGCGAGCAATATAATCGCATGCGTGTATGAACAGGAAAAGATGCGTCCCGTATTAAATGGGGTGGCTGGCCGGGCATTCGATAAAGGGATTTCTGGGAAGATGCACACCAGATACGTTATGACTCTGACGAAATGGGACTGCCCGTTTTCCCCGTTCCGCCAGCGGCAAAGGGAACGAGCCGAGCGAAAATCGAGAAACCCCGTCATTTCGATCGCACAATCTCTCTATTTTCGCTCCGCCGGGAATCGTATCGATATTATTCAGGATCGCGTTTTGGAAAAAAAATCGTATAATTCCGATCGGGCGATCGGAAAAACCGGCGCCGTCATGAATTTTCATGACCCGCGTATATGGTAGTCATGTTTCGAATTATTTTCGTTTACAAAAAAAATGTGTGTATCGAGTAGCTCAATTTTGGTATATAACCGTATAGGTATTCAAAAATTCCAGTGAATTGACGCATAACATACCTACAGGCCACTCGTTTCCATTTTTTACCCGATACACAGGGTTATTGATCTTTTTAATTAAAAGATAATTCATTGTAATTTTGTTTGATGATAAAATCGATCGTGTTTTGGTGTAATAATAAAAAGAAACAAATATACCCTATAAATGAGTGTCTAACTCCCCTAACATATGAATTTATCGGCAATCTGTTCACGGTGCATCTTGTACATATCCAACATGTCAATACGGTTTTCCCTCGATTTTCCGGCGTTGTTTTTTTTCCGCGTTATCAGAAACGACCGTCCAGTCTATTTCCCGGTTATTCCAGACGTTCCCAAATCCCGGAAAGCATAACGGACTGCATTTTCGGCTCGTATTCGGTCAGATCGGTGGCGATAAATCGGCTCCGGATTTCGTTCGTTTGTTTGTGTTGTTTTTTTTCCGTCATTCTACTTCCACTCCCCCGGATTTTCGGCAGGCGCTTTTCCTTTTTTCCTCGGCGTCGAAAGGAAAACGCTTCTCGGGGTTTCCCGGTTTTGTTTTTCTTCGCTAAAGGGCCGTTTCGGAAAAACGAGGCAATTTTTCGAATACTGATTTATTGTTGTGTGTTTATAAATTATTCGTTGTTTTACCTAATCATCCGAAAAACTGGAAAATATTTCAGAGTCTTCAAAAAACATCGTATTCAAACTCATAAAGCCTGTTGTAATCTTTCATGTCAATTACATGTTGATAAACAGTAATTTAACTAGATGAAATTTTCCTCTTTCGACGAATGTCAGAAAGACATACGGCGGGAAAACAATGGACGCGGGCCATTTTCCTCCGTTGCACTTCTGAGAGGGTAATTTTTATACAAAAGTAATGGAAAGAGAGGGCCAGAAATTCAATTTGTTCCAGCAGCGGCGTCAGAGAGGTCCGACGGCGCACTTATTAAAGGCCGAAACGAAACGAAACG